TCGCAGATGGGAGCCGCTCCCAGAAGAACAGCTAAGCAGCAGCCCCTCCGTTCGTACAAACACAACTGTTCCAGCTATCACTTCTCGTACGGATACGGCTCTGGCACCATAGCCAAGCGGCGGCTCCGGCAACGCCCGCATACCAACTGTCCGCACGTTCACGAAAGAAAAGAGGAGTCAGTCGCCAGCGGAGCCAAGTCAATAGTCTGGAGCAGGTGTCGAAACAGCACTGCGCGTGTCGAAGAGTCAGATCCAATGAGGTACCATGAGCAATACCTTCAACAGGGCCGAATAGTGCCTGAAAAAAGACCAGGAACAGCTTCAGGACCTGTCATAAAGTAAAGTGTCCCAGAAACCGTCGAAAACTGGGTACCATACCACAAAAAAGTACGCAAGCACAAAGCCGGTGGCGAGTGCACGAAGCACTATGCCGGCGGCGAGCGCACAGAGGTACCAAAAACCCCTTTCCCGCCCAGGGGGACTAACGTAACCCAAAAAATTGGCGATGTCTTTTGAGAGCCCCTCAGGGCCATGAAAGAGCTACGGGCCATAAGGTCCTGTTTGGCAATCAGAGCCAAACCCTCGATGGAACCGAAGCAGCAACCATCTCAGTCGCCTCGACCTGCAGCTTTGCCCCAAATGACCGAAACGTCGTTGTCACTAAACGCCGCGGATAACCCCTCATCAAAAGCTCCCTTCTAACGGCCAGCAATGCTTGGTGCTGGCCCCATGAGTCACTAGAAAGTGTGAATACACAATAGAGGGTGCTCACAATCGCCCCAATCTTTGCCCTTTTGCACGAATACGAATCATAGTCCGGAAAGCTGCCAAAAACTAATTCCCCGGATTCCCAGAGACTCGTTTCATTTTTTACCACACACACGATCCGGCAAGTAACCCCGTGCCCAAACACCTCAATCCCTACGAACGTCCTGTGTCCGCTCCCATCATCAGTGCGAACCAAACGGAGAACAGTCCCATAACATTCACAGAACTCAACCAAAATTGTCTGTGCTCGAACAAGGTCCGTCAACGTAGAAACTACAACAAAGATGATAACGTCATCAACAATCTGAAAATCGTGGACCAACCTACAATCTGCACCCAGACTCCGCAAGAACTTTCATTCAGCGCTAGAACAGAGAATACAAGCAATAAGACAACTGGACGCTTTGCCCATGGGGACGCCTATAACTTGCTGCAAAAGTTGCCCTCCCACATATATAAAGGTAAATCTGAGGTCGAATTCCACCATACGCCGGATCATCTGCAAGGACACAGAGACACACTCATCCCTGGACCCACCAAAGGACAACCATGCCTTTTTGCCACGTTTAGCCACCTTTACCCCTTTACACCCCCGGCGATCGAAAAGGCCCAGAAGCCAGTTGATCGCGGTCAGAATATTGGGATGGGGTAAGGACACAAACATGTCCTTTATGTCAAAAGATGCGGATATAACATCAACATACCCGGGAACAGATCGAAAACGGCCATCCATCCTTTGCAGCCCTGCAGGAAAATCCATGACAGCCCGTAAATTGAACGACGAATACATTGGCAAAGAAAACAAAAGGCAATTCAACGCTCTCGCCACCCTTCCACTGGCTACCCTCGTGGGCTCGGCACAAGTGGGCGAGATAGGCCTCCACCGTGTCAAGTCCTTGTGTTTCAGAAGTACATAAACATTACCGAAGCGTCCAGCAAGATCCCATTTCCCCAACCAACTCAAACTGTCACCTTCAAAATCCGTTTTCATACGAACGAACAACTGGCTGTCACTCATATCCGCCGAGGCAAAAGAAGGGTTCCAGTTGAAAGTCATAAACGAGTAATGCTTATACAAAACCAGACAAAGGACCGAGGTATCCCCGATATTGCTATCCACCGGAACGTAGACAAATGCTCGGAGCCTAATGACCCAGTCCTGCAAACGCCTATAGCCAGAATCATCATGCACACCCGAGTTCCAGCACGCCAGTAGATCAGACAGCTAAAAAAACAGGGTAGATTTAAGATAGGAGGCCACCACAACTAACTGCTTACCCAACCCACCTACACCTTGGTTCGGACAAATTCGAGGGATACTCCGCAAGTTCCGAAGAAACAACGGGATCTGAGGGACACAACCTATCCTAGCGCGAACATGAAAACCATATCTACCCCAGGTAGGTTCCAAGTGGCACACACACTGTACAGACCCGTCTGCACCCAGAGCCTTGTGAAACGACCAAAGATAATGAGCAACGGACTTGTTCTTCTTCCAAACAAAGCGCACCTTTCTCTTAATTATGTCCTTAATAGAATTATGAAAAACCGAATAATCTATAACACGAAGAACCAGAGAATGCACCCTGGATGACACTAGTCGATGATCATAAGGCATACGTATTACGATACGAAGACGCAAATCTAAACCAATCTTGCGTTTAATAGATCGCGCCAGTACCCCCCGCAGGGAAGTGCGTGTGGCCTTACCTGAAAACCCACGAATGACTTTGTACCATCGAACCAAAAAACAAACAGACTTAAATCTCAGCAAGCGTTGTCTCCACGACTGTTGCAACAACAAACGCAACTGATTCGTACAAAACATTCTCTCATTAGGGGTAAAAACCACCGAACGAAAACACCAACTCCCACCACCCTGTAATGTCTCCTTCAGTTCCTTGAGATAGAAAGAAAATTACCCAATCTCGACACTAAAATAACCAAAACACCGTCGGAGGAGAGCCCAACCATCAGCCCACAGATTGCCCACCGCGGATTCAATAACCACACCCCGCTTCCTAGATCCTAGTAAAGTGTGTAACAAAAAGAGAAGGCTAACATGCCAAGGACCATCCGACAAACGGAACTTCAAAATCTCAATACGAACAACCTTAGTCAACTTGCCCACCCTCTTCCCACGACAAGGACGAATACATTCTGGGTGCGATCTTACCTTTCTTATGTGGTTGAGAATCGGACAGAAACTCCTGATAAGGATTCTCTCTGCCGCATCTACAGCCACAGCCCCATTTACCAACGGTACCGTGACATATTTTCATATGCCAACTGCTCGCAACCATCGATAGAGCTTGGGACAAGCTCCCAGGCCATGGGACCTAACCGTACGGATGTGTTCCCCCCACCGTAAGATTATGCCTCGTACCGAACAACTAATGTATTGAACCTTACACCACGGAGAGGAGAGAAGGTAAACCACAGGACCAGTATCCCAAGATGCCCAGTCGACACGTAGAAGAAGCGAGCGAAACTTGGACATCCAAACGATCTCACCCAGAAAAGAAAGCGCTACAAAACATAGAGTAGCACATTTATCGTACAAAGCCCGTAGTCTAGAGGGACACCCAAGCTCCCATGCCTTATTTCTGAGTTCCATACACTGCAGCAGATTCTTCCAAAGCATGAACCTGGAAAACCTAGCAATTCATTTCAACGGCGTGTGCTCTTCTTCTAGCCGAGATCCCGGAGTGGCAGGCACGAAGACAAGGCCTTCATAGGCGAGCTTGGTACGGACCTCGATAATCTTCTCAATGGTCGGTGCCTTGGTTGTATATTGCACCCCTTGATGACCGCAAATAACTTTCAACTGATCCTTATTTTTTACCATCAGCAACTTCCTTTGAGCAAGCACGAATGTCAACACTCCTTCCGTTCCACTCCCCGCTGCTACCTTAGTTCTCCCACGTCCTTCCCCTTGCTTCGACGTCTCACCAGATGCAGGCAAGTCATCCAAAGAACCCTTGTCACTTCTAAACAATGGCCGCTGAAATCCGCGTTGCGAACCGTCCATAGTCATTTTGCCCTTCCGTTTCTTCTCACGCAACTCGTACAACATAGCTATCTCGTCCTCTATCTCCTTCAAACCTTTGTCAGAATAGTCACCATAATCCTTCCCCTTGTACGCAGACGCCAGCGTACGGACCACCGGTGAGCGAAGCTCCTCCCTTCTAGCCTCGTCCCTCGAAACCAGGTACTGCCTCCCAATTCGAGTCATGACCCTAGCTTCTAGCGCCGCCGAATTCCTCTCAATTTCCTGTCTGATCATCTCATCCATCTTCTTTCTCTCATTCATTTCCCATTTCCTAGTGTGCTTCTCCTTTTTCTCATTAATCAGCTGACGCAAAAAGTCCTTCTTCTCCGTGTCTTCTGGAGCTCTGCGCGGCATCCAGAAGTTCCTGGCTGGAGTGGTATTCGTCGGAGTAGAATTCCCTATGCGTTTTGTTATGTGCGTGCAGACGGACACTCCTTGGCAAAGTGTCCGTCGCCCCCACAGTTAAAACATTTCCCTCCCTGCGCTGCCATTGGACAAATTAAGATAGGATTTGGAGAACCTGGTAGTAGGATAACCGGAAATCCTCAAGAGACAAGCCAGCTAAGAAGACGAGGGGAGGAAGGAAAAAAAAAGGAAAAAAAAAAAAAAAAAAAAAAAAAAAAAAAGAGCGATGAACGACAAACTAACAGGTATATCAATCTCAGTCTTTCCTCAGCACTACCCTAAGCAAACCGGTATCATCATGAAACATTACTATCAACCTAATCAGCGCATCCGCCTCCTCAATCCAAAAAGCACACCTAAGCATAGCACGTTCCGTATCTAAACACAAAGACGTGGCCACCACCCTATGTTCAACCTCATAGGAGGTTGTCACGGATATCAGAGATTAAGAGACCAAGTTGCCCGGCACAGACAGCGGACGCATGAGGATGGATAGCAAAGATTCTCAAAGTAAAAATGCTCCAACACACACGCATATATATACGTATGAAAATCGCACAGCTCAAATAACAGAGCAATATCAATCATCACAAAGACCACATTAACGCGGYAATTCCCCGACGCGTTTCGTCCACCCCGCAAGTGGACTCCTCAGGGGGATGAGTCCAAGAAGATTGGAGATATCACTACTCAGGAGGCCATACCGCATGCCTTGCCCCCGRCTAAACTACCCTACACCTACCCTTCTCCAAGTCGCGAGATAGCAGGAACCAAAACCCATCATGATGGAAGCCTTATAGTTTCGTAGTCCCCCCCACCCTGCACCACTGGCGACCAAGCAACAAGAAGCACCGATCAATCGGACGAAAGTGCCCGACAGAGTGGATCGTATGAGACAGGAGACCTGCCATATCCACCTTAGAACCCCAGAAAACTGTCGCTGCGCACAGCGCAACAGAGCACTATCGCGGAGCTGGTGAAGTAGCCTGCTGATCGGCCAGCGCACAGGTACCTGCACAAACACGCACACACACAGACCAAACAGACAAGTACAAGCAGGTACAACGCAACTCTTCCCTCCTCGCAGATGGGAGCCGCTCCCAGAAGAACAGCTAAGCAGCAGCCCCTCCGTTCGTACAAACACAACTGTTCCAGCTATCACTTCTCGTACGGATATGGCTCTGGCACCATAGCCAAACGGCGGCTCCGACAATGCCCACGTACCAACTGTCCGCACGTTCACGAAAGAAGAGAGGAGTCAGTCACCAGCGGAGCCAAGTCAATAGTCTGGAGCAGTTGTCGAAACAGCACTGCGCGTGCCGAAGAGTCATATTCAACGAGGTACCATGAGCAATACCTTCAACAGGGCCGAATAGTGCCTGAAAAAAAAACAGGAACAACTTCAGGACCTGTCATAAAGTAAAGTGTCCTAAAAACCGTCGAAAACTGGGTACCATACCGCAAAAGAGTACGCAAGCACAAAGTCGGTGGCGAGTGCACGAACCACTACGCCGACGGCGAACGCACAGAGGTACCAAAAAACCCTTTCCCGCCCAGGGGGACTAATGTAACCAAAAAAACTGGCAGTGTCTTCTAAGAGCCCCTCAGGGCCATGAAAGAGCTACGGGCCATAAGGTCCTATTTGGCAACAAGAGCTACCAATGTTTTTCATTAAGGCAATGAGATTGTATCCACGTAATCCGGAGGGTGTACCATATGCAAGATTCACTACAACATCGGAGCACCCGCCCACAAAAGATGTGCATAGCGTTTAGCGAAGCTCGGTCACGATGGTTACAAGTTGTCATGATGTGAATGCGTATGTGTTTTAATTTATATTGTTCCCTTTCTTTGCAGCAGTAGAGTGTGGCATAACCTGCAATTAGAATATAGACCACTTCATGTCAAAAAGTAGTTGTTAAAAACCTTATAAATGACCATGAGTTATTAATTTCAAGTAGCAATATATGATGTGATGCGTATGCATTTTAGTTTGTATTGTTTTATTTATTTGCAAGCAGTAGAGTGTGGCACGATCTGTGATTATGACATAAACAAGTACATGTCATAAAGTAGTTGCTAAAAAACTTATAAATGATCACGAGTTGTTAATTTCAAGTAGCAAGATATAATAATATTTTTTGTTTGATGGTATTTGTTTTTTATATGCGTCAAATGGGGCATGTATGCATGTGTATATGGGTATGTGTTTGTGTGTGGGAAGGAAGGAAAAAAAAAGAAAAAAGAAAAATAAAGTCAGAATTTTACATACTCTCAATGAGGGTTCAATGCTTATATTTTTTTTATTTAAACGACCACTCCCTCCAACGTCAAAACCTCTGGGGACCAGTAGCGTTGTTTCACGAGGGGTAGCGGTAGCATAAAGTGAAAAATCGGGTGAATGACAAAAATGGAATTTGCATTAAAAAAATGAAAATGCGGGAAATCGATGCGACGATTATTTCATGGTCAGTTTTTTTTTGTTTTTGTTTTTTTGAAAGATCACGACGTAATCTACAGACTCTCAAATTTTCAGAATTTTTGAAGAATAATTATGAGCACGAAAAATCGTCAAAGTGGCGGCTTTCAAATGACGGGATTACAAAGCATTGACCTCACCGATCATGTAAGTGTGCTATTTCATTGGGTTCTCATCGACTCACCTAGAGATTGAATCCTGACAATATGTATGCTAGTGTGTGTTGATGTGTGTAAAATGTCGAAGAGAAAAAAAAAAAAAAAACTCTGAAAAAACGTTGGAGTTTCACTGACTCGTAAGCGGGGTTATCCTCGTATTCCTGTTACTTAGGTCGTATTTTCTGATACATTTATCCAACCGATTGTACAAGTGTGAGGGGGATAACTTTTTTGTTTGATTAGTCCGATTATATTACATTTTGAACTTCTCTGATTATGCTTTGCTAATTATAATTATATTATTTATTAAGTAGCACAAATTATCTGTTGCTCGGATTATTTGGCCGAATTATCTGGGGGTGGGATTATCCGAAAATCAGGATAATGAAGAAAAACAAAACAAAACAATATCAAATAAATAAATAAAATCAGAGTGATATTGCACATATTACATACAAAAAAAAATGCTCCTAGTTCATAAAAAGCATGATTGGTTATCAAAGGGTTCAAAGGGGGTATAAATAGAAATTAAAGGGTTTAAAAGGGGGTTATTCAATTTATTTTATCTTAACAGTATTTGATTTTTTTTTTTCTTTTTTTTTTTTTGGAATATCAAAGATGACATCAAGCCAAAAATTATTTATATTGTTTATATCTATGATTTTTTTTTTAATTATTTTTTTGAAAAAAAACCTATTTTATGCAAGGTCGGATTTTTCTATACCCGGAATTAATCCAGAAATTTCATCCGGATTCAAAATTCAGATAAATGGGTGTGTTGGATATCCGATTTTGCTACCTATATTATTTATATATATTATTAGAATTATTATGATTATATGTTTGTACCTAGGCTACCAGTCGGGCCGCCCGAGTCCCGGATGGCCAGCCCGTGCAAGGACCAAAGGACGGTCCCAGCAAAAAAGAAAAAAAAAATCTAAAAAATCCAAAAAAAAACTATGTTATGCAGAAAATAAATTGAACAACTTTTGTCTGAGGGTCACATCGAAAATCTTTACCCAATTCCAAATAAAAAATAAATTTAAAAATGATTTTTATTATTTTTATTATTTTTATTATCTTTATTTTTTTTTGTCCGGTCGGGCAAGTGACCCCGGACCACTCTGGTAGCCTAGGTTTTTACTTATTATACTTTAATTTTTATGATTGTATTGTTATTAACTTATTATATCTTTGTGTTTCAACTCTAACCATTTGTGCATGTGTATGCGCATATGGAAATGCATGTGTGTTGGGAGAGGGATAATCTTTATGTTTTATTTATATAGTTAATATTATGTAATGAACTTCAATTTTTAAATTTAATCACTATAATTATGTTTTTTGTTTAGTATTTGTTATTATTGTTGTATCTTTATTACGTCTGTGTGTATTGTGTTATGATATTTATGATTATCCTTTGTTTTACTCGTGTGATAATTTTTATTAACATTATTCAATTTTTTTAATCATATTTTCCAGTATACACAATTTCATGATATAACATAAGAGTCATTCCCTTTGGAAATCGTATCGTACTTTTGTTTCTTTCCTACAAAAGTTTGTATCTATATCCTTAAGGTTCCCTCTCATCACTCACTTTTTCCTACAAAGTCGTATCAGTGTTATACATGATGATCACTACATAGGGGGTTCATACATACAAAGATGAGTAATCATTTTTATAATATATTTTGGCTAAATATGATATCGAAGATATAACAAATGTCACTTGTGATACTTATTTGTCATAGTCGAAATCATGTTAATGTTACTCACGCTCCCCTATATTTCTCCTCGTGTGGTAAGATTAAAGATTGTTTTAAAGTTTAGTTTGGATAATTGCGATACTAATAATTAGTAAAACAATTTTACAAATGTGAAGTTTAACCATGCTCAATATAATTGATATAGAATAATGTACACACTCACTTGAATCCCACAATCGGGCATCCCAATATACACTACCAACCAACCTTTTTTTTGGGGGGGGGAGGGGGGGGACGCTACCAGCTCATACGTCTACTTTTCTCTCAAAGGCGCCTAGAGTACGGACACTCAGTTCCTATGCCCAACTGGGTGACAATACTTAAGTATGACAAAAGAAAAAGAGGACCATGTTTTCGACTTCTTAGGTTTTATGTGTGCAGAATGATAAAAGTTTGAAATATTTATTTTATATTCACACACTGGTTTCAAATTCACAGATTGCAATTTTTTTGTGATACTCTTTCACATCATCCAATAAATGTCACAATGCAATAATGCAAATATTTGTATAATGCTTTTAGTGTCAACCTTGTAGGAATCTCGAAAATTAATTAAGGTACTCATACTCGTTTAGGTTAAATATGATATTGTCACGATAA